GATTTAACAACAGCCAATGGCAACTCATGCTTTACCTGTACTGCAGGGGGCCGTGTACTCGGCTGTTGCAAATTCATCTGAAACATAAAAAAGGAAAATTTGTCAGGGCTGAAGTGTCTCTCCTAACTTTGATCTCCATCATATGATTCATGATATGTTCCAGGAGTACAAAGGAATACAATGTACAGCTTCATATGCATAGTAATAGCTACAGCTAACCCAGGCTGTTGTTAAATCTTGGTCAACGATCCACCCAGTAATATACTGTATTTTTCGGACTATAAGATGCACCAAGATTTTGAAGAGGTAATTTTTTTAAAAAAGTTTTTGCTATCTACGGGCCTCCCAAACCCTCTGAATGCCTCATTTTTTTCAAAAAAACAGAGCATGCATGGGCTTTGGGAGGTTTGTAGAGTGCTCCTGGAAGCTGGGGGGCAAAAACAAGAAAAATACAGCCCATTTTCACTCATTTTTGCCCTCCCCAACCCCCAGGAGCACTTTGCAGACCTCCCAAACCCTCGGCACATCAATTTTTGTGAAGGGGACGGGGTTTCAGGAGGCAAAAAATTCTGCATTCAGTGTATAAGACCCACTCAGATGTTCACCCTCCTTTGTGGGGGAAGGTGTGTCTTATACTCTGAAAAATACGGTAGTTGCAGGCAAGCAGCACACCCCACATGGAGGTGTCTTGAGTCCTAACTGCCATCTTGATTTTTTGACACACATAACCACACCCACTTCCAAACGCTTCTCTGCAAAGCGGCCTGTGGGCCAGATACGTCATGCACAGGTCACACCCACCCCACCTCTGTGAATGGGGAAAACATTGCAAAATATCACTTGATGGCAACGTGACACGGTGAGTTTGACACCCGTGCTCCAAACCATTCCGAGATGCATTTTAAAAAAAAAACATTCCCAGGGATAGATGACTTGACTAGAGAAGCTATGTTCTGCTCAGCCTCTCTAGGGTGCCACTTCTATGCACCCAGCCAAACAAACCTTATTGATTTGGACTTAATCATGATGCCTGGAAATGCCTGAGCTGGATTGTGAAACACAAGATTGTTTTTAAACAACCGAGTAAATCCCAACATGCAAACCAGCCTGAGGAGGTCGGTTGTCCTCAAATTTTACATGCAGTTCCAAATGTTGTACAAGAGGCAATTTAATCCGTCTCCGTTAAAAATCCTGAACTCTCCCCAAGATTCTAATGGATTTTTCCCACCAAGCAGTGCTTTAAGGCAGCGGTTCCCAACCTTTGCAATGGGGGAGAAGGGAACCGGGCCATGTAAGCAGTGGCCTGGTATGCACACGCACGTAGCTTAACTTGTGTGAAGTAAGTTGCACGCACATTTGCTCATACACCAAACCGCCACTCATGCAGGTTGAGCTGCATGCATGCCAGCCCGCTCACACAACCCATTTCTGAATAGACCACGGCCTGGTAATGGGCCCCTGCCATGGGGTTTGAGCCCCTGCTGTAAGGGCCAACTGAAAGTCGTTAATTTCCCCCCCTTTTGAGCCCTATGGAAAAGGAAGAAAAATGCCAAGCAACTACATGTTGAAAAATAATTAATTAAACAAGCTATTTGGAGTACCACCATTCAGTCCCTTCTCACCAGTTTCATAGTAATCATAGATTTTCACTAAGGCAGGCTGCAGGTCCCAGACGGGTGTCTCCTGCTCCACCGTAAAGGAGAAAGTTTGGACTGTCTTGGGTACCTGCAGAGAAAAGTTACTATGAGGTTACAAACCAGATGGAGAGCTTCTGCAGGCAACACATTGTAGAGCCCTTTTTGTAGAGGATGTGGCACATCGTATCAGCCACTTGAAAAAAAACAGCCATAACAAGCTTGTAACTCCTTGCTTCCCAGAAAAATAAGGACAAGGAGAAAGGAAGTGGTCCTGCCTTCAATTTTATCCCCTTGAGTGAATGATCTTGTCCCCTCTTTGGGCTCTGCTCCTTATCCTTACTCACCTCGTCCAAGTATAGCAGGACATGATTGATGTTCACTTCAGTCCTCTTGATCTGACTTTCCTTTTCCAGCTTCAGGAGTGGAAACATTTGAAAAACGGAAAGAGCTTTATTAGCATTCATAGTGATACTGTTGGACTAGGTGGCCATAGAAACAGAGTTAGAAGTGATCTTGCAAGTCACCAAGTTAAACCTCCCGCTCAATAAAGAATCCACCACAAAGTTGTGGCTAACTTTGGATTGGATGGATAGGTACAATTTTCCATATCATGAGAAAGAATGACAGCTGCTATTTTCATTGGAGAAAATATCAATATTCAACACATCTGTTTTAGCATTCCTAATCCCCATTTCCAATTACAGGAAGTTCTCAACTTACAACCAGTTGCTTAGCAACCATTCAAGGTTACGACAGACCTCTGCAGGGCCACTCCGCCTGGCTGCCCTCCACCTATGGTCATGTGATCATATTTTAGGTGATTGGCAACCACCTGCCTTTCTAGTTCTTTGAAGCATCCCATAGTCATGTGACCACGATTTGCAATGGTTTTTACCAGAAACCAGCATTTACTTCTGATTTCCCCCCAAAAAAAACCCAAATTTCAGACAATAATGCAC